ACCCTAAGGCCATGTTTGTTTGGGCGGACTGGATTAGCATTCCCATGACTAATAGTCCTAGGACTACGAATCGGTTGGATTATGTATCCTATCTTAACTAATAGTCAAGTTTAAAATAATTAGTCCCTACTTCAATTGTTTAACCAAACATCAGATTAATAATTTTATTGGACTATTAGTCCAATCCCAAGCTCATGTCCACCCAAACAAACATGACCAAAATGTGTTTAAATTTAACTTGTTTATCCCATCTCAAAGCGAGTTTTAATCGAGTTGACAACAAACTGAGCTCTAGTAATTTGATTTCATTTTATTTATGATGCATATAAATTTTGGTTATTACACTTTTCCCCCTTTATATTTGGACACTTTCCCACTTTGGTCCTTAAAGTTTGTTTTTCTTATTTTGACCCTCTATGTTTCAAACTTTTCTCACTTTACTTCTAAAGCTAACTTTTATTCAAAATTAGATTAAAAAAGGTCACAATAACTATCACATAATAAAAAATATATATTATTATATTGGAGATTAAATTTATGTAAGAGGTATTAGTCATATATAATAAAATATTTTTATACCATGTGACTATTAATGTGTCACTTTCTGTCTGCCAAAGTGGAAAAAAATAAACTTTAAGGGCCAAAGTGAGAAAGTGGTCAAACATAAAGGAAGCAAAATGTAATTTATCATTTAAACTTATCAAGTTGAGCACTACATTGTTCAAGCTTGGTTTAAAAACTTAACAGTTTCAAAATGTATTCAAGTTTTGTTTATTTACGTAATAAGAAAATTTTAAATGAGTTTTTTTATGAATTGAACACAAGTCGAGATCAAGTTTAAGTAATTTGATTTGTTAAATAGCTCTATACACAATTCTCAACCAAAATACATGACAATGACATTTTTTAAATAATACAAGTCACGACATTTTTAAAATAATAAGTGACGTTTAAAATGGTAAGACCAAAATTTGTTACATTATTATTTTTTTATTAAATTATTTATTTATATATTATTACTGATTTTATCTTTCTACATACTTTACTTAATAATTAATAGGTGGTGGGAAAGCACAGGTTGGGGGAAAAAGTTGCTCTTTGTTAGGGACAGGGTGGTAGAGAATTATTTATGGTCTCTGGGAGAGGCTTTTGATTCCAAAATTTTAGGAGCATGGGAACAAGGATCAATATATTGGCCACATGTGTTGATGATGTTTATGATGCTTATGTACCTTGGATCAGCTCCAACTTTTCACCAATGCCATTGACAGGTTGGTACAAGTAGGGAATGTCATTCCTTCTTAATATTTGCCTTAGGTGACTATTATTTTAAGTTTGAAAAAGTCTAATGGTATAAAAATCGATCATAAAATCAGACATAATTTTCTCACTACTCATAAGAGATTTAGGTTATGTTTGATTTTGTGATTAGTTTATACATAAGTTGAAGAATTATACAAGTTTCTAACACAATTTTGAAAACACTTATGTGTCTCAAATGAGATGTTAATGCAATGGAACAATTTCTAGACTTTCTAAGTTTTAAATTCTAAACAGACATTAATTGATTACAAAATTAAACATAATCTTCTCTCATTTGAGGTAGATTTCACTTTTTTGTGAGTTTCCACACTTTTATGAGAGAATTTATTTGATTCTATAATTAATTTTTGTGCAAGTAAAAAAATTATTTAAGTTTTTAACACAATTTTAAAAATACTTTTGCATCTCAGATGGGATGTCAATGCAGCTGAACAACTTCCAGACTATATGAAGATATGCTTACTTAGTTTATTCAATACCATTAATGAAATGACTTATGTCACTCTTAAGGAACATGGTGTCCATATCCTCCCATACCTTAAAAATAAGGTACCCACATCCTTTTTGATATCTTATTTAAGCAAACTACCATATAATTATTTGATCACATTCAAACAAATGCTGTATATTAGCTTTACTAAATCCATGCTCAATTTTATTGGGAAAAAAAAAGAAAAAAAAGAAGAAGTGGTCTAATGTTTTTTTTTTTCATTAGTCTATGAAATTTACTTCTAGTGTCAATTTGATTCTTATAGTTCTCATGGTATCAATTTTATCTTGAAAATTTTCAAAGAGTGTCAATTAAATCTAATTGATAATGCCCCTTTGAAAAATAGAATGAAAAGGGACAAAATAGTTCATTCATTCTCTTTAAAGTGATTGAAGGGTTGCCATCTAATTTAAAATGATCTATTTCGTTTCAAATGGGTCATTTCGTCCTTTTTTTTCTATTCAATTTCTTAATGATTGTTGTTAATAAGACTAAATCGATACAATATAAAAAAAAATTGAAGAACAAAATCAATACAATTTAAATTACAGACCAAATTGACATGAGGAAAAATATAAAGAATATAATTTGCCCTTTTTGAAATGTTGTAGTGGCAAGATTTATGTCAATGTTACATGAACGAAGCAAATGGTCTTACAGTGGGTACATGCCAACACTTGAAGAGTACCTTGACCATGCATGGACTTCATCCTCTATTCCTACATTACTAACACATGCTTATTTTCTAAGTACAAATGCCATAACCAACGAGGAGTTGGAATGCATAGAAAAGTGCGATTACATGATTAAGTGGTCATCAATGGTTGCAAGACTTGCAGATGATTTGGGAACATCATGGGTTTGTAAGCTAATTGGATTGGGCTTCTTTCTAGTTCCCTAATTAGACTAGAGGGTTTAATTTAGAGTAATTTTGACCCGTTTTGATTTCATCTTGATAATTTAGACTGTTTAATTTTTAGTGTCCTTAGAGTAGATTATTAACGTAAAAAATCAAATTAATTAGATATTATTAGCCATATGGTTGGATCACATTTCCCTTTAAAAAGAAATGGATGACAAGTATAATTTTGAAAATAGACAGTCCATTTTTTTAAAAGACAAATGTGATCCAAATATATTACTACCAATATTCGTTCGACTTGTCTATTGCATGGATGATCTACTCAGATGGTATAAAAAATAAGTGGTTCAGATCATCGAGATGCACCCGAAATGGGTCCAAATTGCCCTGAATTGGATCCTCTGGTCCAATTAGGGTAATACATATCTCTTATATCGACCTAAGTACTTCATAAAGTTACTTGCAATTCCTTTTTCTTTATTGACACCTATTGATCTGCAATTTCTTCTTGATTTGTTTAGGATGAGGTAAAACAAGGTGACATTCCTATATCAATCCAAATTTACATGCACGAAATTGGTGTTTCTACAGAAGATGCCAAAGAACACATAAACTATTTGATTAGTAAGGCATGGAAAAAGATCAATGAAGCTTGTGTTGTGGACTCTCCCATCAATGACACTTTTGTTGAGATTGTAACAAACATGGCTAGGGTTTCCCAATTCATGCACCAACATGGAGATGGCCATGGACATGATATTGGAGGGAAGAACAAAGAACGTGTCACTTTGTTGCTCATTGAGCCCATTCCCCTTAAATAGATAAATCTTGCTTTAAGTTAAAGAATAAATTATAGGGGTATTTTTTCATAAATCTCTCTTCACCTACTTATATTTCACTTAATCCAAATTATTTTCTTATGTTCCAATAAATTCCATTGATGAGTAATTCTCTTTCCACATACTAAATCCCCTCAGGGCACACACTTAATGAATTTTTTCAAAATCACATTTTTATCCTCTAATTAAATTATCATTTAGAACAAATCTTTATCTTTTTCTATTTTCCCAACACACATCCGAACATATAGGGTTTGGTTGGATATCAACCTTCAAACGGATCTAGGGTTTGCAAATGTTGGGTTTACGGCAATAAAAAAATTTGTAGAGGTTGGGATCGTAGCGGAGAAGGTCATAGTGGTTAGGATTTTGAAGAAATGGTGGGTAGCAAGGGTATATTAGGGTGGTTTAGGCTAAAGCAATGATGGGCTAAGAGTAGCGGTTTCAATGGAGGGCTAAGAGTGGGAGTGGTGGTGGTGGTAATGGTGGTGGCAACAGCAACAGTAGCGGCAACATTCCAAGTTTTCTGGAAGAAGAAGAATAGGCGGATAAAAAATAAATTAGAATTTTGAAAATAAAAGATAAGGGCATTGTTGGAATGAAGAGATGTGTACCGAGAATATTTTTATTTTTGATATGTGCTTTGAGAAAGTATTCATTAAGTGTGTGCTCTGAGGGAATTTAGTATGTGGAAATAGAATTACCCCCAATTGATGTTATAGTTACTAAAACACCCTTGGAGGTTATTGTGTTATTCAAACAATATAACCTACTTCACATTAGAAAAAAATTGCTTCATATACTCTCCAAATTTCTTTGAAATTTGAAAATGACTTCACCGATTTGCCTTCTATCATCTACGATCGGCGTCATATCATTCGGTTTCTAAGCTGAAAACAAAACCCCTACAAATTTTGAACACTATAATTCTAAATTTGCTAAATTTAAGTATTAAAAGTAAATTAATAATAATGTGATGCTAGCAACAAAATTTAAGTCTTTACAAATGCAAGGACACAAAAATAGTAATGCTAATGTAAGTTTTCCAAGGGTACGTTTTATTTGAATGAAAATACCCGTATTGAATCTAAAGGCTTGAAAGAACATAATATATACAACAGTCATGTTAACATATAAAATTAATACCACATCTATCAACTAATAATATATAGGAGTTGGCAACATTGGAAACATTTGAAATGCACTATTCCTCCTTGCAAGATATTTTTTGTGCAATTGCAACCTCAATCATACGCACTTAAATTTTATTAAGACAACAATGCCTTTAGTTGGATCCATGAATGTGTGTGGTAAAGTATACAATATACTAATCAAGATCCACAATCACAAACATAAATATTTTTTTCATAGTTAATGATTTTTAAAAATTCATGACTGCATCACCTGATTCCTGATACATATCACTGGATACTCTATATACAACTACACTGCGACATATTCTGGTCAATACTACTAATTAGGTGCTTATATCAATGCAATTAGTAAATAAAAATAATAATAATAAATTCTAGGTTCTATGATTAGTTTCTATATGAAAAACTAATTAAAAACACTTTCTTGGTTGCAGATGTAGTGTCTAGGGTCTTAACCCTGACTTGTTTATGATAAGTGGTAATCGTTATTCTGTACTTACAATTTTTTTGGGGGGGACTTTTGAAAAGTTATGGGTTGCATTTGACCTTTCAGTTATTATAATTGGGACCTCCTTCTTATTGTTTAGAGCCTTGATTGATGAATTAACTTGTTGGTTGGGCAAGATTAGACCAAGAATGCCATATTTGAATATTTGTTTTGAGTAGTTGTAGACACCCCATTTTTTACCGCTCTTAAGACTTGGGCGTCGCTAATGGTTTACTTGGTGATGAAAGTTATGCAGTGCAAAGGGTCAATTTCTTCAGAAAGAGGAGAGTCAAATCCTAACCTCACACCCCATTTTGGACCAAATCTATTTTGAATGGTTTTTAGACCTTAAAACCCTCTTTTTCAAAATATTTTGAAAAAGGTTTCTGCGATGTTCCGAGGCTTGCATTTTGTCAAATGTTGCGCTTTTCGGTAAACCGAGCAAGGACAAAGTGGAAATGAATAAAAGAGAGATGAAATCTTTGAAAAATCTTTCAAAAAACCTTTTTTTTAGAGGTTTGAAGTTGAAGAAAAGAGGAGAAGAGGGAAGAAACCAAGTTGGAGAAGAAGATGGGCATGAACCGTTCAGAGAGATTCGAGTGGCCCTCGCTAAATCAAGCCTATCCATTTGTATACTTGGATTTCAGCTATGAGGCCACCACCGCTGGAAAGAAGACTTCCGGGGCTTCATTTTTCACTTAAGAATCTCCTAAAGCCATGTCCGGATGGGGGAGATATGATTGGTTGAAGTTGGACATCATTCCTGTTGGACCGAAACTGAGCAACCGTCACTAAAAGAAAGATATCTCTTAGCACACATATAATTTTGATGTGAGGCTTCCATAATTGGAAAGAAGACTTCCGGGGCTACAGTTTAGGCTTGAGAATGACCTAAAAAAGAGTCCAGATGAAGGAGTTAGGCATGCTTCAAGTCAGGGACCAGGACTGATTTTTGCCGTCGACCTCTATGGAAGTGCATCGGCCACAATTGGAGCTCATTGGCCATAGGTCGTCCAAAAGTGAACCTTATCGGCCACAAATGGTGGACGGTCGGCACTAAAGATGGTCGGTCAGCCAGAAATGTCCAAAACTCAGTTTTTTTGCAGATATTTCTCCTCCAGCTGTTTCCAGCTTGCTCTAGTTGTCCCAATTCAGATATTTTCGAGCCAAGTTGATATTTTGCTATATATGAGAGCCTTATATCTCATTTTCAAAGGGTTAGAACATTGAAGCAATTTTAGGAGCCTCTCTCTCTAAAAAGTCCTCTCTCTCTAGAAATTTCACCGCCAAATCTCAGCCTCTCTCTCATTCTCTTTCCTTTATGTGCATAACAAGAGATACACTTGGAGATACACCCCTCCTTTGCCTAGGCATCCTTCGTCAAAGTTGTATATCTTTGGGCTGAGGTCCCTTGGAGCCTATTTTGTGCTCTCAAAGGCTGATTTTGGCTCAGATTTTAGCTGGTTTTGCTGTTGAGCTTCAAGGTGCTTCAAGGGTAAGCACTTGCTCCTTGGGTAAGCACTTGCTCCTTTAAACCTTTGCTTTGTATGCTTGTTTTACCACCTTTGTAAACTGTTTTTGGCTTGGTTTTGAACTGAGAAAATCTTTGTTTTTCAGTCCTAAAAGTGATGGTTTAGGCCTATTTTGTGTTAGGGGGTTGTCTCTCCCTTTGCTCTTTGGCTTGTAAAGCCTTTAGAGCCAATTTCCTAAGCTTTTGAAACCATCTTTGTTTGGCCTTTTAACCACTGAAATCCAGTGGATTTTCAGTGGTAAAAATGTGGTTTTGAGGATCAAAATGGGAGGGGGTGGTCCCTTCTCCTCTTGTCTTGATTGTATGCCTTGTTGGCCTAATTATTGAGCATGTTTTTCTAGCATGTGTTGGCTTGTTCTTAGCTAATTTTTGGGCTTATTTCAGTATGGCATAACTCTATTTTTGGCTTGTTTGATCATTGGTTGCATCCTTCATGCACTTGTAGTGTAAATCCTCTTTGCTAGCCTTGTTAGCCTTACAAAGAAGCATGCTCTTGTGGTTTGAATTAGCTTAATTCAAACATGTTTTTGGTGTTATTTTGGCATGTTATAACTCTGATTTTGATTGGGGGACTCACCTCTTGCATGCTTTATACACTTGTAGTGTAATCCTTGCTAGCTAGCCTTGCATGCTTGTCTCTTTAGCATATTATTCTAGCTCATTTTGGCTATACTCTAGCATGATTTTATTCATATTTTAGGCTATTTTAGGACTGTTTTGGGCTGCCGTGGTCATATGACTCATGTTTTACATAGCTATAGTGCAAATGCCTTGACTAGTCTTGAGTTTTGAGACCACTAGCATGCTATATTTGTGATGTTTGCATGCCTTGGCATCATGTAGCATGTAATTTCAGATCTTATTACATCGTCACACTCGCACATATTCTACTCTTTCTTTGTGTTTGAGAGTTGAGCTTTGTGCATTGCTTGTGAGCCATCATTTGAGCATGCTTTTTCTTGCTTATCATGCTATCATTTCAGTCCATTTTTTCCACTGTCTTGGCATACATGAGGTCTGTTTAGGGCTGGTTTAGTCCATTGAGCATTATGTTGCATGGTTCTAGTGTTGTGTCCTTCACTAGTTTCAATGTTTAAGCCTTCTAGCATATTGTATATGAAGTGTTTGCATAGTAGAGTCTTGTATTTCATGCCACTTTAGCACTTAAAATCTGCCATCCTCCTCATTTCTTCACTTTTGATTTGTTTTGAGGATTGGTTAGTCTTGAGTTTGAGTTTAATGCAAGGGATTGAGACTTGTGCTTAAATGGCTTTAACTCCCTCTTTTGAGGGTTCCTCCTAGTCAAAGGCATGGTTTCTCTTATGCCTTAAACCATTCTATTGATTGGCCTTCCTCTCATTAGAGGACTCTCACTTTTGGACTCAACCGGTTAAAGGACTTATCAGTAATCTAAAATGAGTAAACAAAATGAATCAAAGTAAAACATGCCAAGATAACATGTTTATGTTGGATTGCATGCGTTTGGATCGGACGTTAATCCAAACACAAGAAATGAGAGACGTTTCATACTTGAAGTGATGAAACATGCCTCATTTCTTAGTCGCCGACACCCTTGATCGTGCATAATAAGGTGGAGGCTCATCGAGTCTATTTGTGCATTCATTGACATTGAATTGTGCAATTTGGCCTCTTTGGCCATCATGCATCAAAATGCGTGATTAGTGGCTTGAGAGCTGAACACTGCACTCCTTTGAGTTTGAAACATGATAAGGAGTGTGGTTGCACACACATTCCCTTGCAAATACACTGCCATGCCCTTGTTTGTGCTCTGTTGTAGCAAAAAGAGGAA